TTAACAGCATCGTGCTGTTGTAAAAGCGAGCTGTGTATTAACAGGAGTACTGCGTTTAAGGCCTGAGAGGTGATCCTTACGCTCGACTTGTTGCTGATTAGATCTAGATCTGCTGGCGTACTCTGGGACAGCACGCCATACCTCAAAATGACTTGGAGAAAGTCCAGAAAAATACCAGCAAGCATTATCAGACATCCCACAACATGAATTAGGGGAACAAACCCAAAGATTGGGGAAACAGCAGAAAGACAGACTACGGAGAAATGTGATAACAAAAATATAAATACTTGCCATGAAGCAGTAATAATTACACTCTGGTACTATATTCAAAACAATAAAAATATATGGGCTTAAAAAGGCAACACAGGAGAAACCACACATGAGAAAGAGCTCTCTACAATTGAGACTAATGACATGTAAGAATAGGTTGCACTGCAGTTACAGCATATCTTTCACTGGAGGGTTTTACGCCGTGGTAGTCTAACTTCTGTCAGGAATGACATGTATAGTTGATAGGCTCTGGGGAAGGAATATAATCAGCTAAATGTGCTCTCTTTGTATCTTTCACCTACAATTTCTGCGATTCTGTAATTTTAATAGCTAGAGACTGGCTTAAACTCTGAAATGTAACACCTTATCTATCATCCACACTTTTGCTTTTGCATTTGCTTTTACAAAACTTACATCTCTAATTGGTCTAATCCTTTGCTTAATTCTGCTTCCATAGCCTCCAGAAGGCCATATTCAGATTCAGAACAAGCTCACATCAATCTTATCCACAGAAATAGTATTTTACCTATCCATCTTGCAGTTCGGTTTGAATTTGGCCCAAAAATGACAGCCTCTTGTTTTATAAGAATGCAGTACTTTCCGGAGAACACTGATAGAGATTCCAACACGAAAGCGTTTCCTTTCTAATGGACATTAAATCTGGATTTAGACTACTTCAGTGACTACTTTTGAGAAAGTAGAACTGCTGTTCAACTAATTACTGAGAATATGAATCACTCTGGAAGGAAATTTTCTTCCAAAATGCCTTAGAAAAGCTTCCAGACTGGCGTACGGAAGGCATTTTAAACAGAAGATCAGTGTTGCATTGTTTTAACCTGATTGAAACATTCCTACGGAGCTTTTTTGCTCAGCAGGTTTTGCAGCAGTTTCCCTGCATATATTAAAAACCCAGCGTTGAATAATCTTTTAAAACAAACTGGGTCACGCTGTCCTGCACCAGGGTTTGCTTGGCAAGGGAGGAGGGGCAGATCGCAAGGAAGCTGGCTATGGCTCTGTCATCTTCTGTCCTGCATTTCCGCAGCCCAGCCTCCAAGTGGGTTCGCAGGGGCTCCAGCCCTATCTCGTGCTACCTGGCAACACGCTCCCACCCTCTGACAACTGGCAAAACTCAGCCGCACTCCCACCAGACCCAGTGCTGTCCCAGGCTGCACCTCTGGGAGACTGAGAGGGGGAATCCCTCAAAGGGAACTCGCAGCTCACCAAATGCAGCCAGGGTCAGGCTTGCAGCATCACCAGGGCAGCACAAAGGGGATGAACTATGGAGGAAAATCTCACTTTGGAAATATTTCAAAATCAGCACCTACTTGCAGTTCAGTTTTATGCATTCTGCGGGTGAGACAGCAGTTGAACAAACTGCTCTCTGGAAAACAACCTCAGAACAGCAAACTAACCTTATTAAGCAACAGTGTAGTTATAAAACTTCGAATTGATTGCTTGCACAAGTGCTATGCTACTATCTTCTGTGTCGTCAGAGTATGTCAGCAAAACACGGTGAGAAACTATATCCTAAGTTCTCATGTTAATCCCATGCTTGTTCTTTACAGGACAGAAGCAGGGTGCAAGATCTTGCGAGATCATTTCATTCTTTGTCGTGGTAGTACTGAGGTCTGATTAAGCCGCACTGTAACTTGGTATTACCTCAGTCCTTTCCAGGACCGTTCAGTTGACCCGGCATTGGTAGGTACTACGGCTACACATCCCTGCTGATTCCAGTACTGCCCTCTGTGTGAGGAGGACCAGGCTGACTCGTTTCCCAGCTGGCTGTTTAATTGTTAGACTCTTGACAGAAAGAACTTGTGCAATGGCAACTATTTAGCCTGTACCTTCAGCTAAATCCGAGACTGAGAAAGAACCCTCTCCTTTTGGTGCTGGTAAATAGTACTTGAAGGCAAAGGCTATTACAACATAATATTTAGTAATCTACTTACAGCAGAGTTTCTGGGAACCAATAGTCACATGAGACTATCAATTAAAAAGATAAATTTCTAAATTTATGCATAAAATCGACCTAAGTACACTCTGAAAGAGCCAGCAAATAAAATACGCCAAAACTATTTTTGAAGTTACAGTCCTTGAGCCAGCATCACAGTTTTCTGAATCTGGCAGACAAACGTAAAACGTTTAGGCACAGCAGGACCGTGATTAAGGAAATGGGGTTTTTTCAGCAACCATTCACCAGATTCACAAGGGAAAACATTAGATGTGTTTTTCTATTTTAGAAAATCCACAAAACACCAACATCATCACAGGCTTAGCTAAGGAGAGAACTAACTTAGAAACTGGTCATTCACTATGATGATACAGGTGTGTTAAACAGACCTATGTGAGCGTGATAGATAACATCTGCACATGACTCACAACTTGTCAGTGGGCTTATGAAATTAATTTCTTCAACGAGAAGCATGTCTATTTTACATACATCTCTACGGATAGCTTTCTTTTCCCTGCCCCGCCCTCAAAGAAAAGGAGAAAATCTTTACGTTTCTGGCTACAAAAAAGTTGGTTTCCTGCACAACATTTTGTAAAAAGTGGCATGGCTTCACTGGACAAGAGACATTGCTACAGGAATGGAAAGCACTTTAGCCTGATAAAGGTTGACCTTGGTTTCTAGAAGTGCAGCGACAATGTCCATGCTAAAGAGTAAGAAAGCCGAAGCCTGTTTCAAACCGTAGCTGAACGCAAGTTTGTCAGACATTTCATGGAATTTCGAAACTGCTTAGTTTTTCTCCCAAGAGTGTAATAGAGTTATCATCTGTATGTTAATATTGTTACTAAAAGAACAGCCGCATCTGTCAGTATATTTCTTCAAAAGTCAAAGCTATGTATACGTATTTGTAGTCACTCCCCATCAAAGAATTGCCTTCCACTTTTCTTGAGAAGACAGGAATACAATCATTTCCTGCTACTCGATTGTCTCCAACTTCTCCTTACAGAATTTACAATGCAAAGTAATTGTAAATCTTGATGACTAGAATGTTTTAGAATTTAATAAAGATACATGCTTTAATGGGGTTCTTTACTCAGTCATCGTTTTTTTATAATTGAAATCAAAACCCCTTTACTCATCCTATGACTTAACTCATTTGATCATCCATGATTAAGATGAGTAAAACCTTCCCAAAGAAGCAACTCAGCACGAGCTGCCCCCACACTTCTGAAGGAATGAAAGGGAAAAAAAAAAAAAAGGATCAGTCAGAAACTGGCAAGGAATCCTGCCCTTGGATAGCCATTGGAGTCCTGCATCCCTAAACTTGCATTCTTAAGTAATTTCATCTGTCCACAAGGGTTTATTTATCACTTACTTTAGACAACTTTCAGACATATTTATCCATGCTGGTATTTTTTCCTCCATTTAATCAAGCATCCTTTAGAGCTTCTCGGATCTTTAATCTTGGCTGATTCACCACCTTTTCACATTTGGCTTGACCAAAACTGATTTAATGTTCTGCAATCATGCTCTTCAGTTTCTCTTCCTCTGTTACAGTGGACAACACCACCATCTCTTCTCCATCACCAAGGCTCAAACACTATGGTAAGGTCAGTTTTGACTGTTCTCTCCCCTGCTTGAAGATAACTGTCCAATATCATCTGCTTTTTTTCCCTATACAAGTCTATTCCTTCCTTTTTAGCCAAACATTTGGACTTCTCTTCTGACTTTTTCTTCTCTTCTTGTGTCTTTTCTATGCTTTTTTTTCCCCGTTTTTCCCCTTCAAAATGCTTGCTGTCAAAACTGTCAGTCACCTTTCCTTCATTTTCTTACACAGATGCAGTGGAAATCGTAGTGAGCTGAAGCACTGGGTGCATGTGAAGTATTACATGCTTAAATAACAGAACATTGAAGATGACAGGCAGTAAACATCAATCAACCAAAGCAATAGTACCTCTTCCTATGTTTCCTCATACTTTGAGAACTATTCAAGTATCACCTTACCAAGGAAGGGATGAAGAGAGAAAAGTACCAACATCTTTTTTTCCAAAGACAGAAGCTTACATACATCCTTCTAACTGAAATTGCAGTAATAACCATATGTATATACACTATACCATATAATTGCATGATGTATCCAGCACATTAATGTTTCTACTCCCACTATAATCAACAGCAATGCCATCTTGCAAGTTAATTCTGTATAATTGTCTGTAGGCTGTGAGTTAGTCTTTCCTCACACTGTTCTGAAATGTTTTCTGACCAGCCAGCCTGGGTACTTCGATTCAGCTGAATATGCTGAGCTAAAGTGTTCGGGGACCCCCTCTTTGTTTAAATGTATGTAAGTAATCAGGTTTCAATCTATCTGTTTGTGTTTGCGTGCTTCAGCACAGCTGCTTAAGCACATTGCATGTCTTATTTTAATCCTTGGCCTTTTTTCCTCATTCTGCCTCTGGCTGGGGCACTGAAATTTAAATACTGACAGATTTTGCAGGTATGTCCCAAGTAATTCAGTCACGACACCAGGCAGTATCATACTGGAAGGAAGAAAGGATGAATAAATAACTTGGAAGAAGAATGAAAAACATAAACATCCAGCAGCGCTCAAGCCACTTTTGAATTCTGACACACTGGGAAGATTTTGATATAGGACGCCGGCATTGACACACTCTTTGCAGGCATTTTGCAGCTAGGACAAGGAAAGATCCTGGGGCCAGTGCAACTGACTACCCGTTGCACGAAGATGCAGCTGAAAATTAGGAGTCTCTCAGTGCATTGACCCATGGACACCAGCATAGAGCCTGGTCCAGCCAACCAGCCCAAACTGCCTTCGTCGCATGACAACACGCAGGCATCAACAACTCCAGCTGAGAAAACCGGGTCAGCAGCGTTGCACTTGCCTTCACTGGTATGTTCTGTAACATACACGTGATGTTTATCTTTCCTTCGCAATCTGCCCATCCTGGGCAAACGTGAGCGAGTACGCTCTTTGAATCCTGTACTCTTTTCACACTTCACAGCCTCGTGCTCTATTCAGCAAGCACCCAGATAGCCAGTGTGCTTGCCTCAAAGCCTCGCAGATGCCTTGCAACCAGATCGCCAGCCAAAAAACTGCACTTCATCACTTCTCAGGTCCCCTCCCTGTCCCCCTGTTGTACCCACAGCTGTTACCTCCTCTCTGTACCCTCAAAGCAACGGCCTTTGCTGTGCTTGAGTTCTTGACCACGTGCCTGCTGAGTCACATCTGGGGACCTCCTCAGTGCTTGTGCCATGCTCTCTCAGGTCAATATGGCCATATTTGAAGCAGAATCTCCCTTCACAGGAATGTACTGAGAATTAAGCATTCAATGGTTAGATTGTCAAGTACAGAGCATGCTTTGATCAGTCAGGTTATTAATGAACTTCATCAGCATAAATTCTTTATCGGTTTAGATCTTAACAGCATTCCTACAAATCTATGCAGAGATGTTCAGTTGAATTCAACAAGCAAGAAATCTCAAACTGGAAACATATAACATAGAAAATTTAACCGAGCAGAAATGCTTCTGTTATGCTTAAAATTGCTTGTAAAACAGCAGTAATGCAATAGCAAGAACAGTGCAAGTGGAAACAAAGCGGAGTGTTTTATGAAGTGTTTTAGCAGGACGTCACATTGCACAGCGGCATTGCTTTCTTAGCTCTGCCGTAAATGACCTCGGTCTCTTGACCCAAGCCCCCTTTCCTGAGGCATCATCCCGCTGAGTGACAGTAGCCCTTACACGCTGTGTGTGCCATTCCCGTGCCAGTTGGTCACACGAATTGGGGACGTTCCTGTGCTCAGCTGCCAGGGAGCGCAGGGAGGCCAGGCCCGCTCCCACGGCCGCTGCAGTGCGCTGGTGTTGCTGTTGCCAGATCAGATGACCCGAGGACAGGCTGTGCGACACCGGGAATTACAGGCACGACATGTGAAGCTGCCACCCACCCAGCTGGCCACCTGCTAGCAGAAATCTGTCAGGTAACACAGATTCCAGTGTCCAGTTCTGGGCTCCCCAGTTCAAGAAAGACGAGGAGCTACTGGAGAGAGTCCAGCGGAGGGGTATGAGGATGGTGAGGGGAATGGAGCATCTGTCCGGTGAGGAAAGGCTGAGGGACCTGGGCTTGTTCAGCCTGAAGAAGAGAAGGCTGAGAGGGGACCTAATAAATGCTTCTAAATATCTGAAGGGTGGGTGTCAGCAGGATGGGGCCAAGCTCTTTTCAGTGGTGCCCAGCAACAGGACAAGGGGCAACGGGCACAAACTGAAGCATGTGAAGTTCCGTCTGAACATGAGGAAGAACTTCTTCACTCTGAGGGTGACGGAGCACTGGCACAGGCTGCCCAGGGAGGTGGTGGAGTCTCCTTCTCTGGAGATATTCATGATCAGCCTGGACAAGGTCCTGTGCAGCCTACATGTGTTTCCCCCGCCGTGGCTGGAAAGGGCAGGGAGGGAAACACAGCGAGAATTACTGGCTCGGGGCTCCCCGGACCCAAAGGGGCTCTGGGAAAGGCACTTCAGAACTGCGCGTCTTGGCTTCCACGGGGACTGAACAGCCAGCAAAGGATCGCCGGCCCTGTTGCCCAGCCGTCGAGGCCAACGTACTCAGCGCACGGTCGGTAGTGGCTTCGCGACACTTCACGAACCCGAAGGGAGCAGCCTTTTCTCTTGCTCCAGAGCACATGGCCACCGCAGCCCAGAGAGGGACCCCGCCCCG